GCCCCGGCGGGCCCCCCGCCGCGCCGGCCGGGGCGGGGGGCCGCCGCGCGCCCGCCGGCGCCCCTAGGGATAAATTACCCCTCCCCCCGCCAGTGCAACTACAAGTGCGGGTTCTGCTTCCACACCGCCAAGACCTCCTTCGTGCTGCCGCTGCAGGAAGCTGAGCGGGGGCTCCGGTTGCTCAAAGAGGCGGGTAAGCGTGACCCTGCCGGCTCCGGGAAGCCACGGAGGGGCTGCGGTTGGACTATGGTGGGAGGGTTCCTGCTCTGATCGAGACCAGATGGGGATGGAGGCCCCTGTCATCCGAAATATCTGTCTATAAGCTGCATGTTTGCCTGATACTAGGGTACGATGCTGCTGGGGAAAAGGTGAAAGTTTAAGATGCAACTTTTATGTTCCTGGCTCGCTTGCTCGCATGATGTAAGTATGTATGGCAAGGTTTTAATGCTGCGTTTTATTGATTAATGGGGCCAGTTAATTCTGCTTTTAAAACCCAGAAATACCTAACAATACCTAACAACGTTAGAAGCCATGCAAAATAAGGCAAGAACTCTCCAGCATTTAAAATACTGAAATGCACTCATTCCACAGCCCTGGTCCACACCTCAAGTGCTGGAACTGGAAAATTTCCTTGAGAAATATTTATTACAGAGGGACTGTGGTGTCATCGCTTCTGCATTTCAAGGATTCTTAACAGGACCAAGCAGCTCTGAAACTGAAAACCTTGCTTAACTGTGGGCCATCTAGATTGGAATTCAGTGTGCATATTGGCCGGCTACTTTTGCATATGCTTTGCATTTTTGATCCCTTGGAAGTAGCACAATGCTCATCTACTGAATTTTGTGTTTATGCTCCAGACTGTTGAATTCTGTGTCCTTTTCCCAATCAGTATAGCAATACATTTGGGGCCATGAGACATCCATATGATTCAGGGAAAACAGACTGCATAACAGAGCAAGAGATACATGAAATAAAGAATATAGCTCACTAATGGGACACACACTTGGCATGCCAGCGGTCTCAGATCTAATGCCTGGGATCTTTTGGCTGAGTTGAGAAAATGCCTCGTTTGAAACTCTACAGTGTATTAATGGTACTGAACTATATAAACCATCCAATTCAACCTTCTGTGTTCATATGTGGGGGAGAAATAATTCAGAAAATCTAATGATTTTTTTTTTTTTTTACTTATATTGTTCTTGAAGGTGATGTACTGCTTGAATGTTCCTGTCACTTTCTTGTTCTCTCTGGCACATCCCAGGTATGGAGAAAATAAACTTTTCAGGCGGGGAGCCGTTTCTGCACGAGAGAGGCGAGTTTGTCGGGAAGCTGGTCCAATTTTGCAAGCAGGAGCTAAAGTTGCCGAGTGTTAGCATTGTGACCAATGGCAGTATGGTTAAGGAAAGATGGTTCAAACATTATGGTAAGAGAAATGATAATCAGCTGTTCTAGCATTATATAATGTATTTATTGTACTGGTTGTGCCGAACTTCACAGTCAAAAAGAGGATAGGGCTCTTTGGCCAGATTTGGCTGGCCAAAACTAATGAAACAGTAAGAAACAAACTTCTTCACGTTTCCCCCCCCCCCCGTTTTTTTTTTTATTAAAAAAAAAAAAAAAAAAAAAAAAA